TTTGAGGCTAGAAGCACTAGTGGGAATCCTTGGCGATTCTTCAATATGTGGACGGATCATGAGAATTTTTTTCGTTTGTCCAAGAGACTTGGAACAAAGGAGGAGGGGGTACGAGGCAATACCGAATTAGCATGAAGTTGAAAAACCTTAAGAACAAGCTTAAGTCACTTAATGAGGAATCATTCTCGCATATCTCCTCTTGGGCCAAAGATGCAAAGAGTGCCCTCAAGCTTGCCCAACAAACGCTCCATGACAATCCCGATGACACCGACACTAAGTCTAGGATGCCTTTCCTCATACTTCAAGTGCTTAATTTGGCCCAGGGGAGAACTCTTTTGCCAACAAAAGGCCAAATGTAACTTTCAAGTAAAGGGCGACAAGTACACCAAGTTCTACGATGCCTTAGTCAAGAAGAGATCGAAGCGTAATTTCATAGCCTCGATCAACCGGGGAGATGGATCCGTGACCGACTCCCTTGATGAAGTTGTTAAGGAGTTTGTAGGCTATTATGAGTCCCTCTTGGGCACCAGCATTGAAACGGGGGATGTGGACCCCAATGTTCTCAATTCGGGCACACGCATTGTTGACAATCACCATGCTTTGCTTCTTGCCCCAGTGATCGAAGCCGACATCAAGCCACCCTTCATGAAATTGAGAGTGGGAAATCCTCGGGTCCATATGGCTATACCTCCTCCTTCTTCTTGAAGAGTTGGGCAATAGTTGGGGCCGATGTAGTGTCAGCAATTCAAGAATTTTTTCTCTCTGGGTCCCTCCTCAAGCAATAGAATCACAACGCTCTTACGCTTGTGCCGAAGTCCTCACACTCCTCACTTGTGACGGGTTTTAGACCAATCGCATTTTGCAATACATTGTACAAAATTTGCTTCAAGATCCATGCTCCAAAAGTTAGTGAAATCCTTGACTCCATCATTGATGAGGCTCAAGCCGCTTTTGTTAAGGGGAGAAATATCTTCGATAACATCCACCTCATGCAACAATTGCTTTCTGTAAATACATGAGGAAACGAGTTTCCCCGAGATGTACCACCAAAATCGACCTCCAGAAAGCCTTCGATTCTATTTCTTGGTCGTTCTTGAAGCAAGTGCTCGAGGGTCTTGGCTTCCCTTTGGTCTTCACAAGGTGGGTCATGGAGTGCGTCACAACCCCATCCTACTCATTATCGATTAACGGGAGTCTCAAGGGTCACTTCAAAGGGGTGCGTGGACTAAAGCAAGGTGACCCCCTTTCACCTTTTTTTTTTGTGATATGCATCGAATACCTTTCTACACTCATCAAGTGCAACACGATGGAGGACTCGAACTTTAAATTCCACCCAATGTGTGAGCATCTCAAAAACACACATCTTGATTTTGCTGATGATCTTATGTTTCTCTCCCGAGGTGACTCGTCGTCCATTCAAATCCTCATGAATTGCCTCAAAGACTTTGGGGCGAAATGGGGTTAGAAATGAATGTTAAAAAATCCAACATTTATTTGGCGGGAGTAAAAGATGATAGTCGGGTGGCAATCCTCGACGTGACCCGCTTGCAATATGGTCCAATGTCCTTTCGGTACCTAGGGGCCCCTCTCACCGCGGAGCGATTCACCGCTAGACTCTTTGAGGGCTTGGTCAAGAAAATCGAGGCTCAATTTAGTGGTTGGAAGAGCCACACACTCTCATATGCCGGTAAAGTGGAACTCATCCGCTCAGTGATCCAAGGTATTGAGTGTTTTTGGCTGGGGATATTCCACTTGCCTACTATAGTGCGCACCAAAATTGTACAACTATGTAGGGGATTCTTTGGGGCTCGAAAAGTGCCCTCGTTGCTTGGGATAACATATGTCTCCCGCGATCGGAAAGGGGCTTGGGGCTTTCGGGATTTGAATGCTTGGAATCAAGCGCGGCTTGCATGTACTCTCTAGAACATGCAAGCTAAGAAGAACACCCTATGGTATGAGTGGATCCACAACATCTATTTGGAGGGTAAGTCCGTGTGGGAATGGAAAATTTACAAGGACGACCCAACCCTCTTCAAATATCTCTTCGAGATCCGACGTGTCTTGGTAGAGAAGGCGGGTAGCGAGCAAGCCGTGAAAGCCCTACTTCATCGTTGGAGTTTGCGAGATAAGCAAGACGGGTCGAGAAGTTGCTATGACTTCCTAAGCCCCCATGGTACATTGAAACCTTGGACGGGGGTTGTTTGGGGCCCTTGCAATACCTCCAAGCACTCCTTCATTCTTTGGCTAGGAGTGCTCAATCGTCTTCGTACAAAGGATCGATTAGAGTTCCTCGAGATAGACCTGACTTGTTCCCTTTGTAGTGGAGTGGATGAATCATCGGGTCACCTTTTCTTCGAATGCCTATTTAGTTTGGAGATATGGGGGAAGATTCGTGATTGGATTTAGCCTACATCATAGGTCATTGACTCTCAAGGGTCCCTTAAATGGACTTAGAAGGAGGCTAGAGGAGCTAATTGGCAAACCAAGATGTAGAAAGCAGCGCTTGCGACAACCGTGTACTTCATTTGGAATGCGAGGAATAGGTTGGTTTTCGAGAATGAATCTCAACCTCCGAGCCTTGTGGTACGTAAGATCAAAACTCATGTTTATTGTAATATATATGCGGTGTATCCGAATATACTTGCCGAGTTTGAGAGGAAAAGCCTTGGACTTGGATAGACTTATCTCTTGCATTGGATCATGTGATACGCTACTACTTCTTACATTTGTGTCACGATTAGAGATCTGAGCTACATTTGTGTCACGATTAGAGACCTGAGCGAGCAACCGACCTGTGGTTGCCCTCGTAGTTTTTTTGTATGTCGATTATCGATTGTCTGACTCACAATTTTGATCTATAAATTTACTTTTATCGATAAAAAAAAGGTAGCCCACGCATGAATTGGAAAATTGAATAATTACTCGAGCATCCTCGTAATACCCCGTATAAATTAGAGGTAATTACACCCCTTACAATCAAATATAAATTATATTACACTTATACATCCATTATAATTTTATTTACAAAATTAGTAAACTAAGCCAAAAATATTACAATTACACCTAAGGTGGGAACCAATATATGTAACCGTCTGTTAAGGGATCTTGGCAAATTAATTGCAAATGAGATCATTAATTGAAATTAAATATATACTTACCAAAATAATTGGGTCAATATATCCTCTCTCTCTCTCTCTCTCTCTCTCTCTCTCTCTCTCTCTCTCTCCAAAACTACCTCACTGCCCCACACGTTCATCACTCTCCTGCAAAAAAAACCTCTCCTTCAATGGCCAATACAAAACTTCTCCGATCTACTAAAAAAAAATTATTCGTCGATCCTCTGCAACAAGATCACTATTGGAAAAACCTATCGAAAAGCATCGACTTTCTTTTGGCTCATGAGGGGCGGGGAAGTCAGACGAGGAGCGCGATATTGACGGGCCGTACAAGATTATCAGCAGACGAGGAGTGCGAAGGCGGAGGTCGCCACTGAAATTTTGAGCCGAGGGACGGCGGTAAGCTATGAAATTTTATCTGGGATGTCGGACGCAGGGCGACGAGCGAGTAAAGGAGGTGAGGTCTGTGATGGCGGCGGGCTGAAAGAGCGTCCCTCTTTATCTGCACAAAAACCTCTCCTTCATTGGTTCGCTTGACTCGGTGACGAGCGGCTGCGGCCGTGAGCTCGTCTCGGGAAGGCGGAGTCTCAGTACCCAACGACAACCCTTATTGTGAGCAGCGATGACATTTGAAGAGTTTCGATTGGATTGTTTTAATGTTTATTTTATGTTTATGTATAGTTTATGTTTAGTATATTAGCAATTTTTTTTTATTGACAATTGATTTTATTCAGTATATTTTTAGTCTTTTTACTGTATGGGAATTGCTTATTTGTATCATTTTGTTTGTTGCTTATAAATGATATACATCACGATTTATGTTCAGTTGATTTCTAGTTTACAAGTCAAGACTTTGTATTTTATTTTTTCTTTTTGTATTGTTCAATGAAAAAATTGTGTGGTTTATTTTCAGTATATTACTAGTAATGTTTTACTGTTTCCATGTTTTTTTTTCCTCATGACATTAATATATAGGAAAAAGTTCAACATATGTACTAGTTAAAAATTTTATAATTAGAGTTTATAGTCAGTATATTTTCAGTATATTATGCAGTTAAAGATTTATGGTCAGAGTTTATAGTACGTATATTTTCAGTATATTTCGGTATATTCTCAAAGGAGCATTATGAAAAAAAAAAAACGATATATATATATATATACCATTAAAATATTGTAAAACCCATTTAATTAATGATCAAAGATAAAACAAAAAATAAAAAATAAAAAAATGAACATGAAAACATAATTACAAAAATATACCTCACTATCTATTATATTTTTTCTTTATGTTCTTCTCTTACATGAAAACATGATTCCCACCCCAAACACAATTATGGAATTCACCCATCGATCAAAATTGTTCCTAGATTTTAGGTATGATGATTCCCACACAAAATATATATTTTTTTTTTTCTGTAACGGGAATCTACGTGACATAAAGGTGAAGTGTTTTTTTTTTTTATGGTGAAGTATATCTCCAATAAAATCCTAGATTTTAGGTATAGATATAATAAAAATTGGTCTACTTGTAAAAATGAAATATTTTGTAAATCTGATCGGAAGCGTGCAAATTTTCCTATAAATTAAAGGAAACTCAAACATTCGAAACTCAAACCGATTGCAATAGTGGGTCTTGTATGCCAAATCCAAACTATGTTTGCAATGTACACAAGCGCATAGCATTTCACAACACACGGAATTTTTGGACATCCCCTTTAAAAAATGT